AACTACAGAGTTGGGTTCTATGGGAAGTAGACTCCAAAATGGAGACATGTATATAAGTGGTTTATCACAAAGTGTTCTTAGGAGTAATACCTATGAGAACAGGAAGGGAGCAGGATTATGCAGAGGAAGAGCGTTGTGTCAGACAGTTGTAACAGAGTTCTTAGCCATTTTGTGGGAAGCTCTGGATGACCCCTCAGTGATGGACTGAGTTAAGACAAGTGCTCTGAGTTTTTGTAACCTCCCCATCTATCACCTTGGAGGCACAAAGCAGCTTCCTTCACCCCAGGATGATTTCTGGAAGGGACTTAGCTGTGAGCCCCAGTCAACACTCCTGGAAAATGGGAGAATAAGTGCCTCAGTCTTGAACATAGGTATCTGATGTTGCACCATAACCTCTCCTACACCTATTAAACACTCCGGTGGAACACACTGGCCCTCTAACATATCAAAATGGATATACAAATCTAGACAAAATGGAAAAATCAAGGCTGCGGATGGAAATTGGTGAACTCTTCATGAGCCTAATCAGCAGTCTTCACACACGTGCCACAGTGCCAAGTGCATTATGTGTAGCTGGTTGAATTATGTCTCCCAAAACGATAGGGCTGAGTCCGAAACCTTGGAACCTGTGAGTGTAAACTTACTTGGATAAAGGGTCTTCCCAGCCCTAAATCCTTTTAAAAGAGACAGAGAAGGAAAAGACAGAGGCAGAGATGAGTGATGCTGTTGCAAACTAAGGAATGCCTGGAGCCAGCAGAAGCTCAAAGAGGCGAGGAAGGATTTTCTCCTAGAGCTTTTGGAAGAAGTGTGGCCCTGTTGACACTTGGAATTCTGACTTCTAAAAATCAAACGTTGTTGTTCTTTTCTATTCATTTCACCTCCCATCATAGCTAGTGGCTAGATTGTTTGTCTTGCTTCCTTCCTATCAATTGACAGCCCTCTGATGTCTTCTGTGAGGCTCTGCTGACCCCAGAATTTAGGGAAATATTAAAGTCCCCTATCGGTAGCTTAATGGCTCAGTATTAAACATTAAATAAAACTAGATCCTGAATCCTATTTTTGCAGTTTAAAAAATATTTATACTTTAAAAATGATGCATCTGATTTGCTAGTTTTTCTATAACTTTTGCTTGGTTCACTTTTGCTAATCTCAGAACTCCGATTCTTAATTCCGAACCAATCCTTATGACTAGATCCCTTTTATAATGTTATCTGAATTCCAGAATTCTAAAGTAATTTTTAAAATTTAGAAGTAGATTCTTGAGTTACAGATGAAGTAATCTGGGATATGCAGATTGGTGTGTTCCATTAGGTTTTCTCAATTTGACATGAGGTAGTACTAGGTGGAATGAATGCTAAATTAGAGAAAAAAAACCCTCTAGGACATGTGACAACATTTGTTCAACTGAGATGGAAATATTAATAAAAAATCTACCAAATATTTGACTACTAGAAGCATTTTTGATATTCTGGCAATACCAGGACTATGGCTATTAGGAGATTGGGTACTTATTTTCCTCAATGTTGGCTATATTTATGAAGTCCCTATTTTCTGCCAGTGCCATATTATTAGGATTTGTTTCAAATATTGCCAGGGAAATGTTGCTGTGACAACTTACAGTTAAAGATACTGCTACACTGCAATATTAAGTAAATCTGTTAAGTAAAAATCAAAGCTACAGATGAAACCAGGTTTGTTTGTTTTAATTCCAAAGTCCACACAGTCTTTTTGAAAAAATACACCACATTTTCATAGATTTTAAAAAGAGATATTCTCTGCATTAAGTGACAAATGGTGCAATTAGGGACTTAAAAGCTCCAGCCAAAAATGACTGTGATGACCAGGGACATGATTGTGATAATAATTCATAACACTGATGGATGGTAGTGTTGAGTGCTTCCTCAGTGCTGGGACCTACTAGTATGCTTAGTGCTTTACATTAGTTATATCATGTAGTCATCATGTCAACCCTATAATGGAGTTACTTTTATTCTCTTTTATGGATGAGGAAACTAAGGCTTTTAGACAGAGGTAAGTTGCACATGGTTCCCAAACTATTAAGTGGTAAAGTCAGGTCCGAATCTAAGCAATAGATTGCAGTGACTAATTGGCTATACTGCCTTCATAATGAGGACTAGAGCAGTGTTACAACATTTAGGAACTTTACATATCTGTATGATTTTTAAATTGATAAAAGGAGGGTTGAAGCACCAGTGATGATAACTGACATGTTTGTTAACAATTTTGCAGTTTAAAATAGTTATTAACCCGGGTAGTGTGGCTCAGTGGTTGAGCCTCGACCTATGAACCAGGAGGTGATGGTTCAATTCCTGGTTAGGGCACATGCCCAGGTTGTGGGCTCGATCCCTAGTAGGGGTGTGCAGGAGGCAGCTGATCAACGATTCTCTCTCATCATTGATGTTTCTATCTCTCTCTCTTTCTCTTCCTCTCTGAAAACAATAAAAAATATGTTTTAAAATAGCTATTATCAGCTATCCCATAATTTCATAAAGGAAAGATCAGTTTTTCTTAAACTAAACAATTAAAGAAAAAGAATATCTGGAAAAGAGCAGTCCTTCCCAGTACAGGAAATTGGCAATCTTACTCCAACCTAGCTTCATTATATGTGATTCTTATATCAGTGGAAGTGTTATAAGTAACCTTTAAAGGCATATTAGAGTCCTGAGGTACTCAAGACTATTGTGATTACAGTAAAGCTTTTTTTAAAAAAAATTTGTGCACCTAAGAAAACATTTTGAAAAAAATTGAGTATGCATTTTGATAAATCAATTTTAAGATATTAATAATTACAATTTAGTAAGATGTTTGAGTCCAGGTTTACATTTAAAACATTAGTGGCAGAAATACAAAAACTGCCTAATCTATCATTACAGTAAATATGTTGAAGAAGTTATGTTAAATCTAGCACATTTGACACTGGCATATGCTGAGTGGTTTTATTGCTTTCATTAGGATACCAAAAACTATTTTAATGTGACATTCCTACTAATTATGGCAAATTATATTGGTTTTTCAATTATGGCAATAATGTCATTTTTTTTTTACTTTTTAAAATTTATCCCTATTGTTTAAAGTTTTATAGATGTCCCTTTTTTTCCCATTGACCTCCCCACCTCCCCACTCCCATCCCTTCTCTAGGCCTTTACCCCACTGTTATCTGTGTCCTTGGGTTATGCAAATATGCATATAAGTTCTTTGGTTGAGTTATGTTGAATTTCTCTCTTAAATATATTTTTAAAAAAACGTTAGTCAATTTAAATAGAAAATATTAAAGAAATGGTATTGTTGATTGTATACCAATTTGTGGAAAATTGTAGAGGTGCTCTATGAATAGCTCCACTTTAAGAAACAAATAATTTGAGAATCAAGAGATGCCCAAGATGTTGACTTTCTTAGTACCTTATACCAGCCACTAAACTTTTTCAGTGGTAGTCCAAACTAAAGGTCAGAGATAACGATATGACTTTCCAACCTAAAGTTCTAAGGCCTAGTTGAGTATGTTGCAAAGAGACTACCAAAATGTGTCTGTAGATATAGAAAGGAATATTTTAATTCTAGGTGTATAACAGTAATTAATAGGGCTAACGGGCAGCGGTTGATGTTTGATTTTGCTGTTTTAAAAAGAGGTGTCCTGAATGTGCTTGCAGGCAGAGGGAAGTGAGCCTGCAGAAAGGGAGGACTGGATATGCTTAAGGAAGAACTGATGAAACAAGGTCCCCAGGGAAGAGGCGGGGGTGGGGAGGGGTGGCACCAAGATGATTGATAGAGGAAATGAGGGGAGAGGATTGATTAAGGAGATACATTGGTACAGAATGGAGCCAGATGTTCAAAAAACAAATGTTATCTACCTTACACTTTGAGGTAGGGATTTTCCTGTTAAAATGTCTTGATCAGAAACTAAGAGTCAAATTTTCTAGTAACCACCAACTTTGGTACCTACATACCACATTCCTCTCACATGTAGGTCTTTTTTGCTCTCTCATGGAAGTCCCCAGAAAGAAAAGTGGCTGACATTATATTGGGTTCTACGCAATATCAGGCTTCTTACTTTATTATTAAATGAGCACAGGGTGGCAGGTGGTAAGCTGGTATCAATGTAAAAGGAATCTAGTGTGTGTGTGTGTGTGTGTGTGTGTGTGTGTGTGTGTGTTTAAACTCTTTATAAACTTCATTGCCTTAGCTGGCATAAAATAGCTAGCAGAAATTTTTAAATACTAGAGCCCTGGTGTGCGGATTTGTGCACTGGTGAGTTCCCTTGGCGTTGCCTGTGGGGATTGGGCCAAAACTGGCAGTCCAATGCCACCTGCTGCTCCCACTCATCCCGGCCCCGCTGCACCTGCCAGTGGGCTCGTGCCCAGACAGTCCCGATCGGGAGAGGCTCACTCCTCAGCAGTGGCGCTCACCAGTCATGAGCACTGTGTCTGGCCCCTGTTGGTCAGCTGAGCAGTGCTCCTGCTGTGGGAGGGCACTGACCACCAGGGGGCAGCTCCTGCATTGAGCAGATGCTCCCTGGTGGTCAGTGTGTGTCATAGCGACCAGTCGACTGGTCATTTGGTCACTTAGGCTTTTATATGTATAGATTAATCATATGTAATAAAAGGTATGCATTGTTCAGATATTTTAACAATTTTCCTTCAAACTGTTTTCCGAAGGTATTTAAATAAACATGGAAACATTTTTGCCTAGAATTTTTGTGGGCTTTTTTACTATAGAAATCGGAAGTCTGATTTAATAAGTTCCTAAATGCCTTGATGGCAAAAGTGCACGTGAGAAGGGTCAGAGTTAAGGGAAGGAGTTGCAAGTACATTTGTTTATTCGTGAGTTGAGGTTTGTAATTGTAGAAGTACTTTGCAATCTCAGCTTTTGCTCCCAAAATCTAGAATTATCTCCACAGGAAGGTGGCTTTCTTAAAATATATTTATGATAGAAACCAGTCTTTTTCAACAGGATTTTAAGTAATTAAATAATTCAAACTTTCGTGACTTTAAATGATAAACTTTTATTCTGAATATACTGTTTTTGCACAAGATTTAACACAACATTTTCTGGGATTATAAATATTTTTATAACAGTATTATACAAATTTTTACAAAATGTTTTTATCAGGCTACTTAATTTCCACAAAAGTGTCAAGAGAACATAATAAATGGGAGAAAAGATTGTTTGTTCACAAAGCCACTTGGCCTTTTGCATGGATGCACACTGAGCATTTTAATAAAAACATCCTAAAAAGCATGATCCAACAATCATACAACACAACAAAAACGATAGCTTTGTCAGGTCACACTGTAAACTCAATTGGCATCTATACAAGACAGTATCCCATTAGTCTCAGAGGAATTTCTCTGAGTGAATTATGTGAGCTATATAAACAAAGTACATGAAACTATTGGTAAGGGTTGTCTAAGTTTTTGAAATTCTGGATTTTTTCCAACACTTGATACATGAGTTATATTGATTTGCTCTTTACATCAATGCATCAATGGATTATTAGCAATATTAACATTCTGCTTTGAGGAAAACAACATTCCGATAACAATACAGTATTTGAAATTGGGGGAAGTGAAATCATCATTCTATTCTACACCTTTTTTAAAAACAAAGTCACTATATTTGTTTCACTGAATCAAACTCTGTATCTCTGGACATTTTAATGTCAACTAACATGATCAATGGAATAGTTTAGAGTTTTAAATTAAGACATAGAATTTCAGCTTTGGTGGAGAGAAAGATTTAAATGAGATGGAAAATACAAGAGAGCATCAAATAAGCAAGTAACACTTGGGTCAGAAAGGTCACTTAAAAGGGATACTGCCTATTTGAATCCAGTAAGGCCCGTTTTAAAGTTAATAAAAGGAATATTACAAGAAAACTTACAAATGGCAGCAACACTGTTCCATTTTTATATTTTTGTTTTCCAAGTTAAGCAATAATGCTTCACGCATTAGAAACATGAAAAAAGATCATACTAAAATCTTACAGGTCCAGGACCTCAAAATCTCTTCAATCAAACTTGCTAACTATGTCATATTAAAAACCTGTTACAAATATGGACCACGATTGGTGTTTGGCAGTAATGCTGGTTGTTCAAATGAAGAAAACCATTAATGCAAAATGTATTCCTGTTACTCAACACCAATGCAAGAGTTATTTGAATTCGTTTTAATGACAAACTACATTAAAGCTGTAGGAGTATTGCACAAATGAAGAGTTTAAAAGCTTTTTTTCTTGATTTCTTGTACTGTTCAGTCTTTGAAACTCAATATATATAATAGGTTTAAATTTAAGCTTTTGACAACAATTAGAACTCAGAGAAAAATCTGAAATTAAAGATAAAAATTTGATGGGATGAGTGTTACTGTCTTACAGAAAAGTAAGTATGCAAAAGGCATGAAGACAAGTATTAGGACTCAGAACAATTTTTAGTCAGAGCACATTCTTACCCAATTTATAATCATGTATGTGGCTGTCATAATATATTAGTATATTGTATAGCAGAAAATAAAGGATCATAGCAAGACTCATGCATTAAATATATTTTGATGGCAAATGAAATCAAATAGGATCCTGCCAAGAGATGCCACATTTAACTGTCATTAATACAATAATGTAGTCAATGAATACATACTATTTCAGTGACATTAGTCATGAAAATATATTTAATAGATTTTAAAGATAATTTTAAGGTAGTCTGTTGTATGCTGGAAGTAATTCCATTGTTTAATGTGTTGCTTATATACACAAACTAACAATTTATATTTTGATATCCCTTCCCAACACTTTCTTGATTTAAAATAGTCTAGCAAAAGTTAACAATAAGTTTTAAATATTTAATTAACAAACAACATGATTTAAACATTTCTAGAGTGAGAAATTCCACTTTTTGTTTTTATATCACTTTGGTGTTTTCTAAAATGTCAATACCAGTTACAAATGAGACTACAAAATCACAATGCATTAGAAATGGTAACTGATGTTAACTCTTAGAACAATAGTTGGCAAAGTGAATCCATTTCCCAATCCCCCCATTTTTAAATAAAAAAATATTTTAAATAAGGAAATGTACACAAATAGTACCTAGGGTATATTGGCGGTAGGAGGGGATTACAAATGTATGCAAAGCTAAAGACAAAACAAATATACCCTTTAAGCTATGCTAAAGAATTTGTTATATCTTTGCTATGTGGAGCATATTAAAGCATGCTGGATAATCTTAATAAGATTCTGACTTTAAAAGGATATATAAGAAAATTCCCAGCATTACACACACCAATATTTGGCATGTTCAAAAAAGAACAAATGCATTTTACCATAAAAAATATCTGTATACTCCCAACCTTCAGCAGAATTACTCACTACAACTAGAGTTACACATTCAGTTTTCACCCTTTCTTCAAATACTGTTTACTCTTGAAAATAAATTTTAAAGTATAAGTAATATTCGGCTTCCATATTCATCTATAATGAAATATTTGATTTACTATGCTAACGATTTTCACCAATGAGGCTGTATAAAACAATTTTGATTATTCGTCATCAAGTATTCATGTGCATAACATATAGATTCAAGGTTTCCTATTTGTTCAGATTTTTGTAAAACCCTCATCAATCTGCACGGAAATTTTGGTCCAGTGATCAGACCATTGAAAATGGAGGGACAAAGCAGCAGCAAGAGCAGCAGAAATTTTTGGATTGTAGGTGCCACTATTCAAACGAACAAAGAGGAAACCTAGGATGAATCTTCATTGAGAACATATATGTACTTTCAAAAAATAAATGTGTCAAATCTGATTTATGTACTTAAAATATCTGTACATAGGCTTTCAGGCAAAAGCACGAATCTGTATAAAATCCGTTAATTCCCATTTCACCATTTATCTAACCCAGTCATTCAGCATTTACATTGCACAGTATATTCAGAGTAGTTTAACAACGTTTTTTAAAGATGACTTAGGTGCATTACACTGCAAGGTTCAGATTCTTACATAACAATAATGTCACTCGGTTAACTGTTCAATGGACTATACAGTTAAGAGAAAAACAAACTGAAAGTTAAAATAGCAGCAGCATCATGCAAAATACCCTTGGTAACCAAAGTTCATTTATCACAAGAAAAAACATCTTCCCCTCCCCCCAACAAGCTTCTCTTAGAGCATTTTGAAATATCTGGCTAGCACTACATAACTCTACTGTGAACAAAGGACCAGTACACGGAAGCAATTAGTAAGGGCTTACATTTATGAGGAAATACGTCGCATATTCAAATTTTACCCTCAAGCACCTTTAGTATAATAATTTCTTAGTTATTATTTTCAAACAACCAATTTATTACCCCACCAAAACTTAATTAGTCATCATCTGTGTTATATTTTTGGCAGAGAAGCCATTCTTCATAAGGCATTTTATTCATGGCAAATTTTTTTTATAGAAAATTAGCCATTATTTCTATTTCAACAGATTACATCAATGTTAATTCTCTCTATATATACATATTTCAATAATAACTACTCAAAGCAGGAAATAATGGTCAACAGAAGAATAAGTAAAGGCCAAAAAAACCAAGACTTTTTTTCCCCCCTAGAGGTGTTCTTGGTAAAAGAACAAGGGTTGCAGCAAGTCAAATTCCAGGTCAAAATCAAGACAATTTGTATGAGTCATAAACAGTTGTGTGGGGAGCCCTTTTACAAGTAATCACCAACAATGCAACAACAAACTTTCAAATTTTCCAGGAAAGCACGCACAGAATTTTGCTTTGATGTTATACATGGATGATGCAACATTCAGACAAGTTTCAGGATCTGGCACCCTGACATGCAGCCAGTGGGTGCGTTATGAGTCTGCGCCTTAGACTTAGGCCATGTTATGGGCCCAGCTAATGTTCTGCTGATCCGAGGTTGACCCTAGGTTAATGCAGTTGAGGACTCATGTTTAGGCAGGGTCTGGAGTTTAATTATGCAGATTTGGTTTTGGAAGGTCATAACTGGCAGTGTCTGATGCCAGATAAAAGCCAAAGAAGTACAAACTGGATTCCAATGATGGACCACAGGGAGGCATTTAATCCAGAGGCACCACCGCAGTCTGTATAATCCTCCTGTTGGAAAGAACAGAAAAAAGAAAAATCCTGAAAAATATTTAGTAAGACATCTTTCGGAGCACCCGGGTTTAGTCCACTTCTGAACTCACCTTATAAAATTTCTCTTAGTCCAAATAAATTACATTCTCCTAGATTTTATTGTTCAGTGATTTAGGATAATGACATTTCCCTAGTACCATTTAGAATGCGTTATAATTTTATTGTAGATTCTGATGATAATGAAAGAAAATATTTTAGTAGTCAATGCTATTTTGAGTTATGTACCAATTTCTAAATTAAAAAACAACAAACTTTCATAGGATTAAGTGTTCCCATATATTTATAAATACAAGAAATAAAAATAAAATTTAACAGCATGTTTTACAATTGCCACGAATTATGTTTTTAGTGATTATGCACAATTAGGCAAATTTTGGGACTCGTAAATAAATTTGAGAAGTGAACTTCCATCTTCCCTTACATCCAGTTTCAAAGGTGAACATACCATATGGCACATGTAGCATCTGGACCTCCATCAAGAATTAAAATAAAAAGAACGTATTTGAACCATAAATGAAAGGACACTCTGAAACATATATCTTAAACAAGGGGCTAAGCTATCAAGTTTTGTTTAGAAAACCATGAATGTAGGTAATGCATATACTCATTTGGATTACCCAATGTCTAGTTGTGGTTCATTATGTTCCCTACAAATGCAAAATTATTATTTATCTTTTATTCCAAAGTTCTGTATTCTGTAACATTTTTCTATATGCTTTCATTCCTTTTAATATGTTGAATTTAATAGAAAACCCTCATATCTAATTATTTTTCTAAACATCATTTAAGAATTTACTAATCCAAGGTTCATCTTCCACTAACAAAAATGTTATGTGAGTATGTGAGTACAAAAGTAATTAACTAAGGAAATATTCTATTCAGAATATTTATACAAAGACTCTGAGCTCCCAGAGAATAGAACATTGACTCTTTGCTCACTAGGGTTTAATACAGTGATTGCTACCCAATAAATAAGTAAAAAATTTCTTTCTTGAATTGTATTGTGAGGCAGAACTCTTTTGTTTGTCTAACAGATTTTTTGAGGAAAAAGAATCTATTAAGGGAAATTTCATTTTTAAAAGATAGGCCCTAAATCTAAAGAGACAGTTAAAAAATGATCAATTCTCAGTCCTCATCATATTTGACTTTTCAGGAGCATTTGACAAAATACAATAAATATTCTCTGCTTGAAATATTTTCTCATGCATCTTTCCTCCACACTTGTTTGTGGTTCTTCTTACTCTTTTCAGCTTGTTCTCTTCAGGATCTCTCCATGTTAGATTATTCCAGGGGTTATTTCTCACTCGTATTTTCTTCTTTATTTATACTTTCTTCCCAAGTGTTCTAATCCAGCCTTGTAGCTTTAAATTTCACCCATTTGTTAATTACTCATATTTTTATTGTTTTTAATATGAAAACAACATTGTTGTTTTTCCAAAAAAATCAGCCTTATTGAATTATAATTGGCAAATAAAATGGCAAGATATTTAAAGTATACATTGTGGTGACTTGATTATGAAAGGATTGCCCCTACCAAGATAATTAACACATCCATCACCTCACATACTAGTTTATTTTCCTTTGGTGAGAATATTTAATATCTACTCCCTTAGCAAATTTCAGTTTTACAGTGTTACCAACATTGTCATCAATTATAGTCACCATGTTTTATTGGCTCCTCAGGCCTTACACTTTTATCAACCTCTCCCCATTCACTCAGCACTGGGCAGCAATTTTGTTTATGAGTTTGAAATTTATTTTATTTTTTTTAAGATTCCATATATATAGTAAGTGATACCATGCAGTATTTGTCTTTCTCTGCTTGGTCTATTTCACTTAGCATAATGCCTCAAGGTCCATCCATGTTTTTGTTTTTGTTTTTGCAAATGACAAGATTTGATTTTTTTAATGGCTGAATGAAATTCTAGTATTTATATAAACTTTTAGGTTGTTTCCATATCTTGGCTACTATAAATAATGATGCACTGAATACAGGAGTGTATATATCTTTTCCAGTTAGTGTTTTCATTTTCTTTGGATAAATACCCAGAGGTAGAATTTCTGGATAATACTGTAGCTCTATTTTTAAAAACTTTAAGGAACCCCCATACTGTTTTCCACAGTGGCTGCACCAATTTACATTCCCCAAAATGTAAATTTTCTCCACATCCTTGCCATCATTTATTTTCTCTTGTCTTTTTTACCATAGCCATTCTAATAGGTATGAGTTGATTTTCACTGTGGTTTTGATTTGCATGTCACTCCTAATTAGTGATGTTGAGTCTCTTTTCATATGCCTGGTGGCTACCTGTATGTCTTCTTTGAAAATATGTTTATTCAGATGCCTGAAGCCAATTCCAACATGTCAGGCAAGGGCTGAATCATCTGGAGTGGCAAGGGCCTTTCCCCAAACCTGAAAAGGGGTGATTGCTTGCTGCCAGACAGCTCAGGGCATCTTAATCTACATGTTACTGCCTCCTACTGGCCAAACACCTGAACAGCCAGAGGCAAATTCTTCCAATCTGACAATGGATTCTGTACCCAACCCTACCCTTTGAAGTGTATATCTCCACCTTGCCGAAGGACAATTTGTTTTAATAGATAGCAAGGGGTCCTCCTGAGACAAGGAGATCTTAGTTTCTTTAGCTAGGCTCCTCTGATCCCCAAATGCCTTTCAAAATTATGTTTTGTTTCGTCTCTGGACTCTAATTTACGCACAGCCCCTTCTCCAGATTTCTGAACCCTTCTTGATGCCAGATGCCAGATCAAGACCCATGGCATTCAGATCCTCTGCCCGTTTTTAAATTGTATTATTTATTTTTTGATACTCTATATTTTGGGTACTTGCCCCTTATCAGATATATGACTTATAAATATTCCCTCCCATTCAGTAGATTCCCATTCAGTAGATTGTTTTCTTTGCAGTACAGTATCTTTTAAGTCCCATTTGCTTATTTGAGTTGATTTGTGCATAGTATACGATAGTGGTCCAATTTTGATTACTATAGTTGTGTAATACAGTTTGAAATTATGAAGTGTGATGCCTTCACTTATATTCTGTCTTAAGATTGCTTTGACTATTTGAGATTTTTGTGGTTTATGTTGTACATATTGTAGTATTGTTTTTTTCAGTATACAGGTCTTTCACCTTCATGGTTAAATTTATTCCTGGGTATTTTATTCATTTTGGTGCAATTGTAAATGGAATTAGTTTCTTAATTTCTCTGATAGTTCAATATTAGTGTTTAGAAATGCACCTGATCTTTGTATATTGACTTTGTATCTTGCACTTTTATTAAATTTATAAATTCTATCAGTTTTGTAGTGAGTTTTAGGGCTTTCTAAATATAAGACCATGTCTTCTGCAAATAAAGGCGGTTTTCTTTCTTTCTTTCCAAGTTGGATGCCTTTTATTTCTTTTTATCGCTGAACTGCTCTGTCTAGAACTTCCAGTACTATCTTGAATAATAGTGGTGAGAATAGGCATCCCTGTCTTATTCCTGATCTTAGAGGAAAAGCTTTCAGCTTTTTACCATTGAATATGTTATTAGCTGTGGACTTGTCATGTATGACTCTTATTATGTTGAGGGATGTACCTTCAATGCTATCTTTGTTTAGAGTTTTACCAAACAGAAATTTGGAACCAAGCTGAGCAGCTTTCCAAAGAACAAATAGAATTCTTTGCTGAACTGGATAAAGTAAAGGGTCCTCTCATCTCTAATGCAAATGTCATGACAGATGCAGTTCGTTACACCCCGCAGGGACTGCACTGGCTTCGCCAGAATGCCAAGTTGACATCTTCAACTGAACACATTCTGGTTGCCTCTGATTTTCTCCACAACATTGTGTTACATCACAAAGTTTTCACTGCCATAACATGCCACCTAGCTGACACTAAGAATAAGGAACGGTGTTCTCCTCCCTTGTTCATGTGTTACTGTTTTTTATAACCCGAAGCCATCATGTCACTTGACCCTGTCAATATTCCCAATATGAAAATTTATTTTAATGCTTTTAAATCTGCAGCAAAAAAAATGCATGTTAAATTTGGTAATTGCTTTTTGTGCATTTGTTGAAATTATCACATGATTTTTTATCATTCAGTTTGTCAATGTAGTATATTGATTTATTTGCAGACACATTGCTGGAATAAATCTCATTTAATCATGGTATATGATCCTTTTAATGTATTGTTTCATTTAATTTGTTGAGGATGTTTACATCTATGTTCATCAAGAATATTGGCCTTATTTTTCTTTTTGGTAGTCTCCTTGTCTGGTTTGGTACCATGTCAAGCCTGGCCTTGTAAAATGAGTTTAGAGGTGTTCCCTCCTCTTTAACATTTTAAAAGATTTGAGAAGAATTGCTATTTATTCTTTTTTTAAGTGTTTGGTAGGATTCACCAGTGAAACCATCTCATCCTGGACTTCTGTTTGTTGGGAGGTTTTTGATAAGTGATTCAATTGACTTATTAGTCATTGGTTTGCTTAAATTTTATATTTATTCATGATTCAGCCTTGAGAGGATGTTTGTTTCTAGAAATTTATCCATTTCTTCTGTTGTCCAAATTTGTTGGCTTATAATTATTCATAATAATTTCTTTGATTCTTTGTACTTCTTTGATATCAATTTTAACATCTTTTTCATTTCTAATTTTATGAGTCCTCTTTTTGTCTTGAGAAGGCCAGCTAAAGGTTTGTCTATTTTAATTATCTTTTGTTTCATTTATGTTTTCTATTGTCCTTTTAGTCTCTATTTATTTCTGCTATGATCTTTGTTATTCCCTAACTTCTAATACCATTAGTTTGTTTCTTGTTTTGATTAGTTTGTTGTTGTTGTTGTTTGTTTTTGTTTTTTTACATCCTAGAGGTATAGATTTAGGTTATTTGAGATTTTTAAAATTGTTACTATAGGTTTTTATCACCATAAACTTTCCCTTTAGAAGTACTTTACTACTT